TTGTCGCGCAGATAAGGGGGCCGGGCGTATCCACGCGGCGCTCGACGGGGCCACTCCTTGGACGTCCACGACGGTCTCGTCATCTGACGGACTGATTGGTGCCGGCCCGCTCTCGCTGTTCCGAGCCGCGGGCAAGAAGTTCTCTGACTTGCGGGGGGATGCGTCGGGGGCCCCTTGGCACCCGCATGGGGTGGCCAGCCCACCCCTGCCACGCGTGATTCCTGACCCCACTCGAGCCGCGTTGAGCCGTTGCAAGGATTGCACCGCTGTTTCGTCTGACGGATTTCACATGAGGCAATTCTGCCTCTCAGGGTCCTTCGGGGATGACCTCCTTTGGGCTCTCTGCGACTTCCATGCGGTGATGGAACGTACTGCGCTTGTTCCCGCGCGGCTGTCTGCGGTGATCATGGCCTCGTTGGCTAAGCCCTCGGGGGGGGGGGGGGCGTTCGGCCCATGGGCATTTTCTATTCGGTTTTCCGTGCCCGCGGCGGAACCAGGCGTGGCTTAATTTCTGCGCGGGCCCTTTCGAGGTCGCCCAGGGCGTCGTCTGGCGGGGGGCGCTGGCCGCTGAAGGCAGCGCGTCGGCGGGGGAGGAAGCAGCGACCTTCCTCACCGACCTTTACAGCTATTGCGAGCTGCTCGATTTCAGCACGTTGGCGCGCAGGTACCACGTCACGAATTTCCTTCTCAGTCTAGTCTATCCGTGCATCACGATGCACTTGCAGGCTCGGTATCTCTCTCATGGCGGATTCATTGACGGCCCTTCTTGGGCCCTGGGTGGTGCCACTGCTGGGCGTTCTATAATTGCCGCGCTTGTTCGTGTTAACTCCCACGTCAGATTCCACTTAATATGTCTATTGATGATTGGGGTGTTTCGGCAGTCGGCGCGCCCAGACACATCCCATCGCGCCCCCCCCCTGCGGCGCGCGCGTTGCGCGCTGGCGGGGTCGGGGCGAAGCTCTCCCTGGTCTGCTCCAACCGCTTTCTTGGGGCGGGCCTGGCCAGGGCTTCGGGGTCTCGCGGGCCCTGAGGTCGACGCTTCGTCTGCCGCCAACCCCTGGGTCGGTGGCGCCGCGGGGCTTGCTCGCAGGTGCACGGGTCGGTCGGCTAAGACGAATAGTCGGCTATGGGGGGTCTTTGGTAGGGCTCTGCGCGTGGCTAGGTTCAGACCCACCATTGGTGGGCATCGGTGTAAGATTTTTTTTTTCTTTTTTTTTTCTTTCTCTCTCTCTCTCTCTCTCTCTCTCTCTCTCTCTCTCCCTCTCTCTCTCTCTCTCCCTCTCTCTCCTGCCGGCCCGCTCCCAGGAGGCACTCGCGAACCCGATTACTTCGGCATATCGGATTTTTGAACGCCTGCAGCTGCGGCGGCTTGCAGGTGAGGCTTTGAAGCCGTCGGCGCAGGGCCGGAACCCGACGGCGTTCATGCTTTGTTACGGCGGCCCCGCTTGGAGTGCCGCGTTCGCTCTGTTTGCGAGATGGGCTAAGGAAATCCGGGTGACTCATCATCGTCTCTATCCCTTCCTTTCGCCGCGCTTCGCCAGGCCTGGAGTGCGCTTTTTGGGCTCGCGTTTGTGGTGGTCCGTGTCTGGGCCGATCGGCGCGTTGAGGAAGTCTCTTGATATAATTTCTTGGGCCATGCCCTCGCTTGCGGCGCTGCGCAACGGCCGTGGGATCTACGTTCGCTTGACGTAAGTTTATCCTGCCATGGTTCGGCCTTTAGAGACGTGCGATTATGACGTCGCTCAAGTGGGGCCTAGGAGCCAGGCTGAACACTGGCTTTGTTTGCTGCGACGGTGTTATCTCGTGGCTTCGCAGTGAGAATTTCCCCCCCTTGATCAAGTGTGCGTTTGATCGTTGTCCTGCCATGCGATATATACCCGCTTTCGCGCTCTTGGGAGGGGATCTCATATTTTGACAGAGTGCCAACTCTGCGGTGAAGCTGATGACACACTTGGGCACAGGTTGTGGAAATCTTCTGCGTGCGAGGAGGAATGCGCCTCCTGGATTCCAGCTAGTGTGCGTGAGTGGGCTGAGAGAACGGATGAGGCTCTGGCTTCCTTTTTTGAGTTTTCGAGCATCCAAGTGAAAAGTTACCCCGGCCCCTCTCTTTCGAAAGTGTCGTCGCGGAGCTGCGCCCAGGCTTCGAGCGCCTGGGCTTTGACACCGCACTCCTAGGCGATATTTTGGTTGACGGATCGTGCTTCGCCCATGTCATCCCTGAGATGCCGAGAGCTGGCTGGGCTGCTATTTTGATGACAAGAGACATTTTCGAGGAGGTTATTCGCATCAGGGGTCCTGTCTGGCCCCCATACCTTCCAATTCCCCAGAGTGCTGAGCTTCGCGCGTCCACGGTAGCTGCTCGACACCTTAGTGGCAGGTCTACGGTGTTCAGTGATTGTTTTAGCGCGTGCGAAAATGTGAAGATGCCGCGGGCTAGCCAGACTTTTCATAAAATAATTCATGCAGGCTGTGCTCAGTTGAACTAACAGAACCTTCCCATCGTGGAAGTGGTGAAGGTCAGGGCTCACCTGGACGTGAATGCGTCCAGTGATTCAGATGATGATGATTTACAAGGCTGGCGGACAAGCTTGTTGACGCTGCGGCGAAAGTGGCAGCACTTTCCCATCCCCAGCCGGACGCGCATGATTAGCAACACATGGATCAGAAAATTGCCGTCTCCAAACCGTAGGCGTTTTGGCTGCGAAGCTGCTGCCCCAGTCGCCGCCTTTGCAGCTGGGAGAGGGTGTGGTGCGGCTGAAACCTCCCGAGGCGCCCCGTGCCAATCGTGTTCGTCATCGCTGGATATGGCTCCTGAGATTCTGGCGCTGTGATGGTTGTTGTAAACTCGGATGCAACTCCTGGGAGGTCAAGTGTTGCTTTCGCCCTGGTCCGAAATGCGGCTAAATCTCCTTAGTCCCGCTTAATCCGGTTTAATCCCGCTCTATCGGGCTGAATCCCGCTTGATCCGAGGCCCACTCTGGCGTGACCGCTCCCCAATGGGGCTCAACACTCTTTCATCCTTCCGACGAAAACCTCCTAATAGTTGTCTCCTAAAGTTTCTCGCTCAATGGATGCTACTCCGTCTGGTCACTGTCGTGGTTTGCGCAAGCTAAACCCCGAAGTTTTGGCCAGGCTCCAGCACAGAGTTATTTATATTTCTTTGGAGAGTTCGGGTGGCGCGTCCCTCGTGGTGTGCCTGAGGTGCAGGGCCTACTGGGGCCATGGGATGGTGCGCAATCTGGCTCGTCTTTGTGTTGGCTCCACCACAAGTGCGGGGGCCAGATAGCCTGGAAGCTGATCTCTGGGGAAGCTCACCCGAAAGTTGCTGGGGTCAAAGTCCAGGTCGGCCCCTGGTCCCGAAGTACTTCAGGCACGTTCCAGGCGGAGCAGTGACCCCTCGATGCTGCTCCAGAGTCCTCAGAGGTGAATGGCCCCGCGGAGCCTCCTCCCTCTCTACGTCCCTCTCCTCCTCCTCCTCCTCCTCCTCCTCCTCCTCCTCCTCCTCCTCCTCCTCCTCCTCCTCCTCCTCCTCCTCCTCTTCCCCCGACAAAACGTCCTCACCGGACAGTGGGGGCCCTTCACCGGCCGAGCGGGCACGCTTCACCGGCCGGGCGCTCCGGCCAGGCGGCCGCGCACATTCGCCTCGCGGGAGCGCGCACGCCGGTTCACCGCAGGATTCCGCAGGAGACTCCGGGAGCCTCGACGGGGAGCTGGATCCCTGTGCGCAGAGGAGGAAAGGTACCCATACCTCTACCCGTCAGCCGTTTTCCCCGTTTTGCGCCTCCTGGGAGGCCCTCGTCGCCACCGCTGGATTCGCCTCGAAATCCTGGCCAGAAGGTACCCCGGGAGAGGTCCAGGGGGTGGCGGTATTCGTACTTCTCGGTCTTCCCAGTTCTGGGTCTCTTAGAAGGGGTCGGAGTAGATGGGGTCGGAGGATCGCGCCGCATCGCCGATGCATCGCCGATGCGATTCGATGCGGAGCCCACTTTGCTTCACGTCGATGTCACCGATGCACTGCAGACGTCGACAATGCCTCGTCCGTGCATCGCCGATGCATCGCCGATATATCGGCGATGCAGCGCTGTTTTCGGCATCTAAGAGGCCTCTAGCGGCGGTGGTGGGGAAGGAGTGTTGTCCGTCACAGGTCTCGCTGTTCTGGCCCAACTGCGAGGCGTTTTTCTTCGCAGGGAGTGTGGTGGAACCGCCCTGGCGGACCCACGCTTCCCTCGTTGAGCGTTTTTTACGTTGGTCCGTTCAATGTGCGTTCTTGTGAACTGCCCACGGTTCCGCAGGGGCCCCATCCCTGGCCACAATCGCAGACCCGCTAACGGCGAAGTAGGCAACGACGATATAGGCTTCGGCAGTGTAGGTGGGGGTTGTTCGTGACCGGCCCGATCGTAGGAAGGCGTGGTTCGCGGATATGCTCGCGTGCGTGAAGTGAAGGAGCGTGTTGTTCGTGATTTCCTACAACCCGTTCTGCTCAAGTTCAGGTGCCGCAGAAACCGTACAGTCAACCCGCATCGCAAGGGTATTCTTCCCAAGGGTACCCTTACATCCTTGCCTCCTCGGTCCATCCTTGACTACTTTCGCCGTCCGCGCCCCGCCCGACAATCTTTGGAAATGGGCGTCCAAGGCCCTTACATCCTTACCCCGCAGAAGGAAAAACGGCATAAACATAACCTTTGGCGCTCCGCGCGGATTTCTTGGATTCGCCAGGCTTATCCGAAGACCACGACCACGACCACGACCACGACCACGACAACGACAACGACAAAGAGGACGAAGACCGCCCCTGGCGCGCTCCGCGCGCCAGGGAGGGGGGTCCAGCGCCGATCCGAGAAATCCGCTCGGACCTTCGAGTTTTTACGTTTATGCCACTCTTCATTCCCCTAAAAAGGAGGGGGAGGAGGAGGAGGAGGAGGAGGAGGAGGAGGAGGAGGTAGGAGGAGGAGGAGGAGGAGGAGAAGGAGGAGGAGGAGGAGGAGGAGGAGGAGGAGGAGGAGGAGGGCGCTTGGTTTTCTCCTCGTTCCTCCCCCCCTCCCCTCGAGAGGCACTTCGGACCACGCACTGCCATGGCCCGCCTCCGCTGTGCCGCCATTGCTCTAGGACCACAGCTCCATGCGCTGTCCCCTGTCCTTCGTACGCCAGAGCAGTATCTCCCGTGTACTGTCTCCCGTGTACTGATGCTTTTCTAGAACTGATCCCATAATTTGTCTCAAATTGGACGTGCAGCCCGTGCACTGTTTTTTTTTAGAAGTGATCACATAATTTGTCTCAAATTGGACGTGCAACCAAGCTGTCGACAAGTCCTGAGGATGGCTGTCGTACACTGCTGTACAATACAGGGAAAAGTGAACGCGTTCACTGAAGCCATCTTCCAAGTCTAGACGCTTCGCACAACCCCACCAACTCATCCAGAAACGCTGCCCGGGCGAGTTGCCCTGACCAGGGATGTGGAGGATACTGCAGTGTAATCGCGGGAGGGGGAGGAGGGACGAGGAAGGAGGAGGAACAGGTTGATACTGACGATTAGTTGTTTGGCTTTAGCTTAAAGGCTTGGCTTTCTGGGGCCCCAGGATACGGGGGCTTCAGCTTTCTTTCTCTCGCTCCCCGCAAGCTCCTTGGGGTCAAGCTGGGGGTCGGCCTCAGGTGTCCCAGGACCGGTCCTTGTTGATGCGCCATTCCAGACGGCCTGAAGGCCCAGGGTTCCTGGAGAGCCCGCGCGGCCCGCCATGCCGCCGCGCCGGGCGCCAGGTGGTTGGGGGCGGCTGCTGCAGCAGGGCCGCCGCCGGCGACCGCCGGGCGGGCGGCCGGGCGCGCGACGGCGCCGGCGCCGGCCCGACGCCAAGCGAAGACGATCGAGCGCGACCCCGCGCCGGCGCTCGCCTGTAGCACCTGCGCGAGCGGACTGGTCGCCCAGCGCCCCGCGGCGCTGGCCACCGCCCGCCGTTTGGGCTGCTGGGTGCCGCTGCGGTGCTGAGCGTGATGGTGCCCGTGGGTAACGCGCTGGAGTTCCCCAGCGCTGGGCCGCAGAACGAGCCTGTCGCGGTGTACTACTACGACGACAGGACGTACAGCGCGCCCATGGAGAATTTCGGCGACCTGTCCATCGACGGCGCCGAGGACTCCAAGGGGCCAGAGCTCGGCGAGCGAGGGCTGTCGGCGGCGGGGGGAGAAGCGCCTGGCGATCCGCCTGAGCCGCCAGCTGCCCCGCCTCCGACGCCTCCCTCCCTGATTCCTCTTCGGGTTCATCCTGGATCGGGGGCTGGGGCCTGGGTTATCTCAGCTGGGAAAACCTCGGAAACCGCACCTGGTCGTGGAGAGTCGAGGGGATGGGGAGTTGGGCTCATTTTTTTGAGACCCTCCATGGCGCCTTCTCCGCCCAACTGGACTTTGGCTGGCTGTGCTCAGACGGAGGCTGGCTCCTGTACCTGGTCGACAGCTGCGGCGTGCGCCTGAGCCATCATCATGCTGAGCTGCGCCGGCGCCATCGCCCTGGCGGCCTGCAGTTTGCGGGCCATCTTAGCGCCTTGTGCGTGGGTCTGCTGGGTCGTTGGAGCAGCCGCCAGCAGATTGACCCAAGCCAAGGCGGACGGAGCCGCGCTCGAGGTGGATCAGGCGTTGTTGGAGGCCACCCGCGATGGAGGCCCCACCCTCGCGGGGGAAGCAGGGGCGGCCCTGGGCAAGATGGGCGCCGAGGCGGGCAACCTCGGAGGCGAGCCCGACGCGGCGATCAGCCCGGCGGTCTGGGACAAGGCGCGCGAGGTCGGCGCGGGCACCGCGGCGCTTTTCGGCCAGGAGTGGCAGCGTCGTGACTGCCGGGGCGAGCTGCCCTTGGAGCCAGAACTCGCGGCCCGCCCGGGGCTCCCGACCGACGCCTTCGAGGGGCGGTAGTGCCTGGATTTGCACCTGGCGGCCGCGCCCCCGGGCGAACGCGGCCGCGGCCCGCTGGTCAAGGAGGTGCGCGAGTTGGCCCTGGTCCTTCCCCGGCCCCTGCGGGGCCAGGCGACGACCGCCGCCGCCGCGCCGGGCGATCCGCCCCCTTCGCTTCGCCGCGGGGGGCCGAGTTGAGAGTCTGCTTCCGCGACGCTCTGGTGCCCCAGCATGACGAGAATTTCCGATGCGTCGCGCTGTTCGCCCTCCGGGAAGTCGAGGGCGCGACGCTTCGCGTCTGGGGGGGTGAACCATTGGAACCAGCTGGGCGCGGGCGCCCTCTTACCTCAGAAGGTCGGGCAGCGCGAGCTCCATGCGATGATCCACGGGGGCCGCGCGCGCAAGCTCAGACCACCGCCCGGCTCCGGCGGGCAGCGGGCCATCGGGGGGGCGATCGAGGCCTGGGCGCTGGCGGGCAAGGAGCTGCGCGAACGCGTCGCGACTGGCTGGGGGCTGTATCTGGAGACCGAGGGCGCGGCCGGATCCGTCATTAACAGCCGCCCGCCGCTCTGCGCTCGCTGTGAGCGCCGGTAGGCGGCGTTGCGCGAGATCCGGGAAAGCGCCGGCGGAGTGGCCCCGACGACAGCAGCGGAGGAGGAAGTCGACTTCCAGCAGCTGGCGCCACTCCTGCGCCGACCCGCATTCGCGCGGGGCGTCAGGGCGAGAAAGATCTTCGCGGGCACAGGGCGCTGGTCAGGTCCGATCCAGGAAGCTGGCTTCCCCGCGGCGGAGCCCGTGGAGCTCTGCGAGCGACGGCATTCGCAGATGGGGCTGTGAGCGGATCGCGACGCGCTTCGAGCGGAAGTGCGGGGGCCGATCCTGCTGGGTGCGGGCGCCGCGCCGGGCCCGGAGGAAACAAACGTCTGGCTGATGGGGCCGCTGCGCATCGCCCGCGCGGCCTGGGTGTCAACCAGTGGCGGGGCTGGGACCTTCGAGGGCCCCGACGGCGACAGTGCCAACCCAGACGAGGTCACCGCGGACATCTGCGCCGACTTCGCCGCCGACGTCTGCGAACGGCTCCTTGAGTCCAGCTGCAGGGGCGGCCGCTATCCCGAGATCTGGGGCCGCAAGTGCGTCGAGCTCCTCGTCGAGAGGACAGGCGCGAAGGCCATCGCGATCGCGATGTGTGAGCGGGGCCTGGCGCCGCCCGACCAGCCGAGCAAGAGACATCGGAAACTGACGATGTGGCTCGTGAGCAAAGGCCTGTGCCGTGGGCCCTGGCCGCGGCGAGGCGTTGCTCGGGGCATCGCGAGCGCGCCCCACTGGAGGGGCCGCTGCCCAACAACGTCGCTGACGAGCAGGCGACCGCCTTCGACGCCATAGATGAGGCCCCGCTCACTCAGGCGGGGCGCCAGAGGGTCAGAAGCTTGCAGAACCGCGTCGCGCTGACTGGCGTTGAAACGCAGGGCCTCGACGGCGACGAGGAGTGGAAGCAGCTGATCCTCGGGGCGGAGATCCCCAGGCCCCTGAACGACCTGATCCTCGAGATGGCCCCCGACAACTTCCACTGGGCGCTCGTCGAGGTCAAGGGCGAATGCCAGCGCCTGCCTCCCCTCCGCGGCGGGATGCAGGCCCTGGGCCTTTTGGGGCCTCTTGGGGGTCTCTTGGGGGCCTCTTGAAGGCATCTTGGGGGCGTCTTGGGGGCCTCTTAGGGGCCTCCTGGACACCTCTTGGGACCATCATGGGGCATCCTCGGGGGCCATATTGGGGCCATCTTGAGAAGATCGGCCGAAGGAGGGAAACGTTCTCTTATTAAGGTCCTCCCAGGAGGCCAAAGTGCTGGCGGCACCCCAGTCGAATCGACGATTTGGGCTTTCTCGCCGAGCCAATCTTGGACGCCCCAGCGTCTCGCGAAACGTCCCGTCCAGGTCGAAGGGCATGAGGTAGTGGGAGGGGTCAAGACACCCTTCCCGCCCGCAAGCCGTTTCGCTCACTCCCACCCGCCCTCCCAACACATCAGTAGCACTGGAGACGCAGCGTGTTCAGCTGTAGTCAATGGATGGTCGGCTAATGGGAACCAAAACGGACCCCATGTCTGCAACGCTGGTGCGAGGTGTTCTAGGCGTGCCAGGCGCGCCACGCGCGCCAGGTGCGCCAGGCGCCCCTGTGACCGAAGCGTGCCCGGTACGTCTGGTGCGCCAGATGCGCCACCTATGTGTGCCGCGTGCTCCAGCCGCGCCAGGTACGCCACGTTCGGAGCACGCGCAGAAGGTGCCGGGTGCGCCTGCGCACGTGGTTGTACACATCGGGAAACCTGTCGGCCCCTACCACCGTTGTCGAAAACCTGTACGCAATCGTGGAAGGGGTTGCCATCGTGGCGTCTGGTGGGCATTCACAGAGCAGACAATATGCCAGCACCCCCGGGGTCCCAGTCAATTACTCCGACGGAAGGACCCCGCGCGATAATTTCTTTAGTGTGCATGAGAGCCCTCATCTTCGACGATGAACGATGGTGATGACGGCAGGATGCCAAGATACCAGAAAGCGGTCTCTGGGACCTGTGGGACTCGTGGGAGCTTTGCGACCTCGGGGCTTGTTGGGCATGTGGGGCCTGTACGGCCCGTGGGGCCTTCTGTAGTTGCGAGCCCTGTGGGGCCTGTGGGAGTTGTGGGACTTGCGGGCGGTGTGAGACGTGCGGGACCTGCGGGGCCCGCGGGACACGTGGGGCCAGTGGAACCCTCGGACTTGTGGAGCCTGCTGGACCTGTGAGACTTCTGGCGCCCGTGGGACCTGCAACCTGCGGGGACCGTGGGACCTGCGGGGCCTGACCTGTGGGACCTGTGGGCCCCTTGGTATTTGTGGTGCTTGCGGGGCCTGTGCGACCTGTAGGACTTGTGCGCGGGGCCGAAACACCATAGGGTCTGTGCGACCTGCGGGGCCTGCGCTGGACCTGTGGGATCTGTGCGATCTTTGTGACCTGTGGAACCTATGAGACGGGTGGTATGTGTGAAACCTTTGGGGTTTGTGCGACTTGAGTGAGGGAGCTCCCGCCTGAGACCTCCTCGCAATTGACTCCCAGACGAGGCTCACGCCTCATATTTCCTCGCAATTCACTCGCAGACGAGGGCCTCGTCTGATACTATATTGAAGCTTGTAGATCCTCAAAGTGAGGACAGTTACATGTTTGAGGATGGCCCGCTCGGATTGTGAAATACATGAGCTGCGGCCCCCCTAGGGAGGAGGCTCCCGCCTAAGACTGTCACGCACTTTGCTCCCAGACGAGGCTCCCGCGTGAGACTTCCTGGCGATTTTCTCACAGACGAGGCTCCCGCCTCATACTCCCTCCATACTCAAGCCTATGGAGCCCAAAAGTGACGACAGTTACATATTTGGAGGTGGCCCGCTCGGATTGTGAAATACATGAGCTGCGGGCCCCATAGGGAGGAGGCTCCCGCCTAAGACTGTCTGGCACTTCGCTCCCAGACGAGGCTCCCCGCCTGAGACTTCCTGGCACTTCACTCACAGACGAGGCTCCCGCCTGATACTCCCTACATATTCCTGCTTGAGGAGCCCACACGCGACGACATTCACATGTTTGAGGATGGCCCGCTCGGATTGAAAAACATAATCTGCATGCCCCATACGGAGAAGGCTCTCGCCTGAGACTTCCTCGCAACTCACTCCCAGACGAGGCTCCCGCCTGAGACTTTTTCGCAATCAGTCACAGCATTGCTCTCGCTTGACACTCCCTCCATACGCAGGCCTGAGGAGCCCCAAAGTGAGGACATATACATGTTTGAGGATGACCCGCTCGGATGAAAACCATAAGCTGCGGGCCCCATCTGGAGGAGGCTCCCGCCTGAGACGGTCTCGCAGTGCACTCCCAGACGAGGTTCCCGCCTGCTACCTCCTCGCAATTCACTCACAGACGAGGCTCCCGCTTGACACTCCCTCCATATTCAAGCCTGTGGAGCCCAAAAGTGACGACAGTTACATGTTTGAGGATGGCCCGCTCGGATTGTGAAATACATGAGCTGCGGCCCCCCTAGGGAGGAGGCTCCCGCCTAAGACTGTCTCGCCCTTCACTCCCAGACGAGGCTCCTGCCTGAGACGTCCTGGCAATTTTCTCACAGACGAGGCTCCCACCTCATAGTTCCTCCATGTTCAGGCCTGAGGAGCCCACACGTGACGACAGTGACAGGTTCGAGGATGACCCGCTCGGATTGTGAAACACATGCGCTGCGGGCCGGTGCCCCATGTAGAGGAGGCTCCCGCCTGAGACTTCCTAGCACTTCACTTCCAGACGAGGCTCCCGCCTGAGACTTTCTCGCAATTCACTCACAGACGAGGCTCTCGCCTCAGATTCCCTCCGTAGTCAGGCCTGATGATGCTGCTGCTGATGCTGATGATGCTGCTGATGCTGATGCTGATGCTGCTGACGCTGCTGCTGCTGTTGTAGTTGTTGTGGTTGTTGATGGTGATGATGATGACGACGATGATGCTGATGCTGATGTCGATGCTGCTGCTGATGATCATAATGACGGTGATGATGCCGATTATGATTATGGTGATGCTGATGATGCTGATGATGATGCTGATGATGCTGATGATGCTGCTGTTGATGACGATGGTGCTGATGATGATTATGATCATTGTCATGACCATGATGAGTGTGTGAGTGTGTGAGTGTGAGTGTGTGTGTGTGTGAATGATAATGACGGTGATGATGGTGAGGAAGAGGGTGAGAAGGAGATCTTGTGCGGGGGTGTGCAGAGAAAGCAAGTACCCCACTTTGGATGTTGGGAAACATCAATGCACAGTGATCGCCGGGGGTGCCCGCGCATGATCCAGATTTTGTGTCGAAGTGACTTCGTTTTGTTTTTTGACTTGGATGCTGGCCCTGCGCGCAGCAGGCAATATGCGGGGACCCCCGCCGCCCCTTTCAAAACAACAGTACAACATGCTCGCTGTCCCCCGATCATGACCCAAGATTTTGCCCCAAAATGGATTTTACATTGTTTTGGACAGGGATGGAGGGGAGGGCGCCCTCATTGGTCTGTCAGGTTGGTTATTATCAGGGAACATGATAAACCCCTCCCCGAAGGGGAAGAAGGTGAGTTGGAAGAGGACCCTCCCTAAACCACTCACGCCCCAGAGCTGGTGGGACTAGGTTCCAAGGAGGTTTCGATGTGGGGAATGGTGCCCTCTTGATGGTTCTTGGAGCTCTCCTGGACCGACATGGTGCACCTGAGCAGCCTTGAGGCTATCCTGGGCTGCTTTGAGCACGTGCAGCCATGCATCTCTGCGATATTATCCTCTCGCTCTCGCTCTCGCTCTCTCTCTCTCTCTCCTCCTGCTCCTCCTCCTCCTCCTCCTCCTCCTCCTATCGCCGGTGCTGTCTTTTTGTGGTTTCTGCAAGTGCGCTGCCCAGATGTTTGGCAAGCACGTTGCCCACTCTCCTTCTTGCTCCTGCCGAGGCGCCCACCGTTTGCTGGATGGAAGCTCGGGGCCCTACCAAGGCAGACCGAAACTGGAGGTGTCGCGTCTATGCTCCCCTACTCATTCGGCCGATGCCGGAGTAGGGACAGGGATCAGCATCATATGCTTCTCGCGACAAAGGCGAAATATTGAGTCGTTGGGTTGGGCCCTCTCGGAACGCTTCTGAAGCCCTCTTGGGCCCTCATGGCCAGCCAGTGGTATCCCTGTAGGGTATACTTGCGGCAGCCTGGATCTGCTCGGAGGCTGAGCCCCCCCAAAACAGATGATTACCCACACGGAACTGCTTGGACACGTGCTGCTGTGTTGTGCCGTGCAGCGGTGCTGTGCCATGCTGTGTCGTTTGGCGTAGTGTCGCTTTGTGCTTTGTGGTCTTCGATTCGAGTTCCCAGAGCCGTGATGTACAATATTCGTACACTGCCGTGACGTGATGCTACGTCGTGCCGCCGCGCAAGACCGTTCCCCGTGATGCCGTGTGAGGCCCCAAACATGTGATACGCCTCGTGGGAACGTGTGGTGATATTTTGGACGCGTGCTTGCCAAACTTTGGTGCCATGCTCTGCCGCCTTTGTGCCGCGTGGTGCCATGTTGGGTAGTGTGGCTACCTGGAGCAAAACCAGACTGAAGGAGTGTGAGTCTGACCCCCTCCAGTGCTCCGTCTTGGGCCGCAGCATCCTGCTCTTCCTTCCTCCTCCTACTCCTCCTCCTCTTTCACCCCTCCCCCTCCCCCTCCTCCCACTTGCAGGAATCTTGGAGGCCCGGGGGGGGGCCTCTTTGGGGCGTGTCTATTTTGGGCCCGCTTGGGGCCTATCGGCGTCTCGTGGCCGTCTTGGGTACGATGGCTTCACAGAGCTCTCTCGAAGAGGCTCTTTTGAACACTCTTTCGGACGCCTCGATTGTTTTTGGGCCGTTCTTGGAGCCCTCTTGGATCATCTTGGAGTATGAGTATGACTACAAGACGACATCTTACCAGTGCCTACCACCGTGAAACACTAGAGGCACCCTAGAGACTACACATGGCCACGCGTGCGCTTCTCCGCTGCACCTCAAACCTTGCGCAATCCTACTGAGGTATTCAGCTCGAGTGTGGGTGATCCTGTCAGAGCACCTCTTCCTTAATTCGCGCAAAACGGTCGATGCGTAACATCCGCACGACTTGCAGTTCCCGAGGCTCAGGGCTGTAGAGTATTAACAGTATGTCATGTTATGATTCTGGTCGACCCTATCTCCCGCTATGTGCACCCTAGCCTTGGGAGTCTTGAAGAAAGGGACCCGTCATATTCAATGGTTAGAAACACCCGCTTTGCAACCAGGCAGTCGTCGTCGCTTTGGAGGCCGACCCCCATCACCGCCTGCAACGCCTCCCCGAGTCATCCAGACAGTGGGAGGAGGAGAAGCGGGAGCAAGCAGCAGCAGCAGCAGAAGGAGGGCGGTTCCTCTTCACGTGGGAGTCTTTTTTTCATCAACGACCCAAGCTTCCGAAGCAAACGTATCAGGTGAAGACCGAAGCAGCCGCATACGCACGAGAACGGCCCGCCTCTCGCGAATTGAGACCGTCTGTCTCACCGACGCAGGCAGGCGGGCTTGGCTAGCAGCCGTTCGAGCAGCTTCGTCCGCGATGATTGCCTGTGATAAGCCATCGAGCCGAGCTATTCCTAACGACTTCCCCCCTGCCCTGATGGGAGTGGACCAACAGCACAGTGAAGGCCAGTGTCGCGGCCTTGCTGTCGGAGATTGGTACCTGGAGTGCCCATAGGTCGCCGTCCTCCCCCGCTGGTGAGAGCCACCTCTTACTGTGCCGTCCTTTGACTACAGGCTCGCCGTCGGAAACATGATACAGGAGGGGAGAAAACACACAGACACAATTCATCGTCGATTCCCCAGAAAATATGGGAAAATATGGGAAGTGGGTGGGGAAGACAAAAACCCAGAAAATATGGGAAACTATGGGGAATCTTTTGATTTGTGTGTATTTATTGGTGTGTCCTGGGGCCCCTTCAGTGAGAATCGCCCCTCGAGTGGCCCAACGGGCGAGCACCAGAGCCCCCCACTCGCCCCTTGGGAACGGCCCGGCGGGAGAGCCTGCCAGAGGGCCATGCAACGTGGCCTGCACGTCTACGGTGGGCTTGAGCTTGGCATCGCTCGGACGTGTGCACTTTTCCTTTGGCGAGGGCCATCGAGGAACATCCTTGACCATTTGGCGAACAAAAACCACGCCCGAAACCGAAAGAAACGCGGAAGGGACGTCCGAGCGATGGCCAGCAGTGCCTTCACCCCCCGAGGCAGCCCCAAAACGGACGAGAGGGGCCTCAAGGGCACTTGGTCCTAAACGCCCCGGCTCGCACTCGTCGTTCTGGCCCGCTTCTGTCCATGCCTCGACCAACCGACCGGCGGTGGCTCAGGAACGGAGGTCCAATCACGTGGCACCACTCCTCGAAGCCAAGACGTTGGGTCCGCCTCGGCCTGAGCCACCGCTTGTGGCAACAACCTGCCAGAACGATCAGATGCAGGATTACTCTTGTTCTCCTCACATGCCTCGTGCCTGTGCGACATGGTCTCGGGATGTGGCTTACACCTGCTGCACAGCACTGAGCCACGGCACTGATTCTCCTGCTGCTTGCATTCACGCGTCCATGCACCGCCGACCGCACACATCAGCATGGTTGGGGGATATCGGGCGAGGAGAACTATGGACATGCATCGATTCTGGCTAGACCCAACTTGGACCCAGGATCGGTGCGTATGCCCTCCTGGCCAAGGCAGGAGGGCATATGCACCGATCCTGGGCTCAGGATGGGCCTGACCAGAACTGGTGTATGTGCATAGTTCCTAGGATAAGCAATGTCCCATAGCTCGGCTATGGCTTCAGCAGAGCTCGGTACGACTCGCAGATTCCGTGCCGCTCTCGAGATACCGTTTCCGCAATCGCGGGAGGCCCGCCTCTTGCCATCACCGAGCAGCTAAGGCATCGCTGAAGTCTCCGAGGAAGCCGTGATGCGAGTCAACCGCTTTGATACCCGAATACACGCCAGTCGTTGAAAGTATGTATTTTTGGACTCCCAGATTCCATTCTGCTTTAAGCGCCTTCCTACTTCAATGATCGAGTGGCTTCACCCTTTCCGTACTCTTTAGGGAACGGGCGGACACCCAATCTTTTTGTCAACGTTTTCTACTTCATGTTTCTACCTGCTTCTTCCGACCGATGGGTACATATGATCGTCGAAGCGCCAGTCATCGCCAGCAGCAGGATGAGGAGCTGGACTGGCCGATGCCGTAGCTTCTGGTACTCCCCAACCGGCCTACACCAAGTGAAGAGTCACCGCGGACACGGGGCCCCGAACTTGCTTCGATCGGTGCCCCGCTGGCGTATTACGAGTGTGCTGTGCGATTGCAGACCAGACGCTGCGAGCACCTGTCGCGAATGTCTGGTTGATCACGCCATATCTGCAGGCACGTATCCGGATATTGAGTCAGCACTTTGATCCCTGGGTCTTGGCCAGGGACCCGCAATGTTGGTGGGGCACCTGCCCCTCGCAGCGGCTGCGCGTGAAAAAGCCTGCTCGTCGCCTCCCCTGTAGTATTTTCTGCCCGGATGTGTTATGGATCTGGAAATCGTATCTATTGGCAGCTTGGGCACCTTGCAGCTCAAGGCGCGACGCGACTCGGTATCGCTTGGCCGCTCTTGTACAACGGCCTACCTCGGCCGACAGAACAGCATGCCTCTGATCTTTTTTCCTGCGAGTCTTTCTGGCAAGCCCTCTAGCGCGAGCCGCGTCTATTCCCAGAAAGCTCGCTTGGGCCTTAGGAAGAACACTATACCCTGCACGGTTGACTGCTCTGTTCACCCACCTCGCGCCGGCCAATTTCGAGCATGTAACCGCAGATTTCAGCGATGCCTTGAGCGTGTTACGATCCAGTGCATTGCAAGTATTTGGAATGCAATCCCGCAACTGGATCCATAGCGCAGCTCTCGACCCTCGCACTTGCTGTGATAGATCGTCGATCCAAATCCGATGACTGGCCAACGGGGGGTCAGCGGCCACTTGCTTGAGCACAAACTTTGTCATCGTTATTTCAAAGCTGATGCTAGACCTCAGACTCTGCAAGATACTCTTTGGCGGCTACAAGGGGGCCGAGGAGAGTCCGAGCTGACTCAAAACTCGTGCAGAAACACATTGCAATAGGTCCGAGGTGGAAAGTTCATCTTTAAAGCTTCTTGAACCAAAACTGGCCGTTCCTTTGAATCATAGAAGGCTGAGTGTCGCATACTCTGTGACGAACATCCAGCGCTACGCAACTTATCTTGGGTCCGGAGCGGGCATAACGATCTTGGACGAAAGCTACGGAGAAATTCTTGCAGAGAGTCTCTGTGTGGAGAACTGTTGGGGGCGGCCTGCTCCTGAGCATCCTCGCATATCGGATTTACGTTTTCCCAATCTTGTCCTTCTGCAATCGGACCACGTGCCGGCGACTTGGCAGACGATCGAGCAGAAGGCTGTCACCATCCTATTCCCCGGCCCACGTGCTTGGACCACGCCCGCCGCCATGCGGAACTTGACGGCTTTGGGGCTTCCCTTGGAGCTCCCAGTGGCTGGCGACGTCGGTGCTGCCAAATGCCGGGTGTATCAGTGGGAAAACTGGGAACTGCGGGCTGCGAGTCACCCAGCGCCTGGCCCGATTTTGTACCGTCTACGACAACGCTGACCGTCACCAGCCTCGAACGTATATCCCTATCCCTAAGATTGACACGCCAAAAGGCGATGACAATCTTAGGGATTCGCCTTTGATGAGGAGGTGCCCAGCACAGGGAAAGGGAAACGTTCCAGGCTGGTAAGACCGGCTTATCCGCAAAGCTACTTGGAGCCACCGGTGCGCGCACATCCTCTTCCAGAGCCTCCAGGGCGCCCGCGACGAGATGCGGGGGGCCGCGCGCGACTCCGGCATGCCCATCGACGCATGACTACGAGGGGAATTCTCTGAGCCCGTCCCGCGCGCCCGCTGGCAACGCAGATGTGTCGCTGTGCTCCACGTTCCTAGCCCCTCCTGTGCTTTCCTCCCTCTCCCGCTCTCTGTGTCGCTTCTCGCTCCCCAGCGTCCTCCCTGGCCACCGCCTCGAACGGGCAAAATCTGCCTTGATGGGCATTTCGCGGCTGGTCCCCCCCCCGGGTCTGGGCAGCCTTTTACAGGGCGCTCCAGAATAGTTGGGTCACCGGCCGCCGCATGCAGCGGCGCATTGCTCGTCCCTTCGGCTGCGGGGGC